TGATCATTTTTTTCTTTTATTACTTCTCTCGTCATTGTAATTTATACATAATTAAGTTGGCTTTTTAGCCATAATAAATATACCAATATTTGTACTCTTTGTAAAAAGTTTTCATAATCACGGTTTTAACTTCGCCAAAATACCCCCTTTCACCTTATAAATTATATAAATTATTTAATTTTTCAAAGATTTTTATTAATAAAATATTAATAAATTATATAAATTATTTAATTCACAAAGTTTCAAAGATTTTCACTAATAAAATATTATTTAAAATATTTAGCAGGCAAATTTGTTTATTATACAAATTAAAAATATAAATAAAATAAAAAATATTATGCTTTTTGTTTATTATTATTAAGAAAATAAAAATTAAACTCAAATTTATTTTACAAAGTTTATTTTTATTTATTAAAATAATTCAGATTTAAATATTTAATACCTAATAATAAAATTTATTAATCTTTTTAATTTTGTAACATTAAATATAATTAAAAATATTTAATTTTATTATTAATTAATAATATAATAAAATTTTAATTTTATAACATTAAATATACATTAAAAATAATTAATTTTATTATTAATTAATGAAATAATAAAATTTTAGAGTTTTTAGATTTCAGTTTTATTAATAAATTAGATCTTAATTTTTTCAATAATTTCTGAATAAAATATATCAATTTTTATTTAATATATAATGTTTTAATTTATTAATTTGAAAATTTTTTGATATAAATTATTAAGTAATTAATAAAACTTAATATACAATATTTAGTTCTGCTAAAACGATTTTGTAAGTAAATTTAAATTTTGATTTTTTTAGCAGCTAGTGTTTCAAAAAAATAATTTTATTTATTTAATCGTCTTAATTATAAATGGTTAAAAATTCAAAAATAATTTATTATGCATATTTTAAGGCAATTAATATAATAAAAATATTCAATATTTATTACCAATTTATTTTTTTATAAGAAGAACCTGGTATTCATCATTCAATAAATATTTACAGTATGGTCAAACTGATAATTACTATATTTTCGTGTTTTATTTTGAATTAGCAATACCAAATAATTCTTATTCAGAAATATCAATATTAATTTCTAATACATGTATAAAGTTTCTTTTAAAATTTTGGATAATTGTTTAATAGTGATCGATACTACAAGTAAATTTAAAATGTATAATCTATATAAATTTTTTGATATTGTTGAAAATGTGTCTGTTAATTTATACATCATTTATACATCCTTCATATATACATGTGCTGAAAACGATAGTAAAAAATAAATGTACGTAATTAGTAATATTACCGTTTAAGGCAGATGCTCAATGATCAAAACAAACCTCGTTTTAGCGTTAGTACAACAATGTGAAGACAGAATGTTGAACAAAAAGGGAGTTGAAAGAATCGTTTATGAAGGGGTGATCCGCTTTTGAGTTTTATTATTCATAAACTAATGAAACTGCTAGTGGTTCTTCACGCTGCATTTTTACAAGAAATAAGACTTTCGCATTATCAATACTTTAAGAATTATGTCTCGACTAGCTTGGACCTCACTAAAATTGCCACGCATGAAATCATGTTGTTGTTGCTTAAAGCTAAAGACTGGCGTAATAATTATTAGTATATCGTGGTTTGTAAGTTTAACTATCAACGTTAATAAAAGCTTTCGTTGGTTCGAACTGTTATTAAATATCTAATTATTATTTTATTTTATTTTATTGTTAGTTGTCTGGTCTTTATTTTTTTATTAATGACTTCATAGCATTCCAAAATCGTGATAAAGATGCAGATAACTGTGAGTATTGTTGTTTTATTTTTTTTTGAATACTTTTTGCTAAGTTTAAGATGATTTATTTTAAATTTGATAGTTTTTTCCTATCTATACACATTTTCTTTGATCGAGGGGATATTGTCGTTATTCACCGCAATTGGAGCACTTTGTGGATTATTCATCGTGAGCTTCACGGCAAGTTTTAGATATAATTTATGAATAAGATTAATTAATTTTAAATAACATTATTGGTATTACTATTTATTATTTATTCCCAGAATAAAGTACGACTACTCCAAAAATACGTGATAATCGCATGGATAATTGTTGCACTTCAAATCCTCATAAACATTGCCGGAATAATTCTCGTACTTTCAATGAAAAACCCATTTCTTGAGTACTGTATAGGTCAGGATAACGCAGAGGATTCGTGTCTATCAACGTATAATGTCTTGATACCTATCGAAATTGTTCAAGATTCGTTTGTAATTATTATTTCGGTAAGTTATTTTTTGCATACGGGAGACGGAATCTTTCTTACTTTAATGTAAGAAAAACATTAATTTTTGCAAATGTATTTATTTATAGATTTATTTCGCGACTGTAATTGCAGCATATAGAGCACATCGACACGAAAAAAAATTATCCGTGATTGCTTAATAATATTTTTAGTATACTCCTCGTGTATTTATAACATAACTGTATCATAATTTCAGGATGATTAAATTTCTTATTTGAATATATAATTGACAAAGAAGGTGGTTTACTAAGAAAAGCGATTTGTATAATTTAACAAGCATTTCGAACAATCAATATGAATTGAAAAATGTAATTGTAGTTTGATTCAAAGCATCGTAATTACCTTTCAAAAGCGAAGTACATAATTCTTCTACGCGAAGATAGAAATTGAGTTTTTGCTATATTTTCATGTCTCATATAGAATGGTAAACAGAACAAATACAGTATAGTGAATTCGGATAAAATAAATTTAAAGCAGATTATTTATTAATAATCTCTTTAAGTCGACTAACTCGATATTTTCAATTAAGAGATTTTCAATTTAGAGGATTTTTTGATACGTGTATATTATGCACCAACTTTATTGATATAAAATGGTTTCTTCTCAGCGAAGGTTCAAAAAAATTTACCGTGTACATGTTAATAAACATTTTGGCATTTTATATTAGTATATAATTATACTCAGAGAAATATATAAAAATATTGAAAAATCTCAGAATAAATTATTTAATTGTAAATTTAATGTTTAATTAAGTCAATAATGAATCTGAGCACATTTAAAAAAGATTAATTTTTTCATGAACAATATCGTTGTATTATTCACTTTTAGTGCTTACAAGTAAAAATTTTAGCTGATGGTAAATCCAAAAATATAAGATCATTATCAAAGATTTTTATAGACATTTTGGAAATTCATGCAAATATCTATATCTCCGAAAATAAGCTACACCCAGCTTTTCAGCCTAAAATCGGTGTAAATTCCATGTCCCGAAAATAAGCTACCACCATTTTTTTTATTCTTAGGTCACATTACATTATCAAATTATTCGCATTATTTAAAAAAATGATTGTATGATACAATCAAAATTAGATTCTAAAGATTTACTAGTAAATCAAACATCCAAAAACAACCCACAAACATAAGCTACCCTCCCATGTTTTGAAGCTAAAGTGTTGCAAAAAACCAACTTATACGTATACGATAATATTAAAATATGCAAATACATGTACGTACGTACATGTATTTTAATAACAAAATGATGATTCAAAAGTAGGATAATTCAATGCTGTATTTAATAATTAATAATTCAATGATATTACATAAGCTATATACGTAATACGTACGTATGTAATTCTGTGGGGGTATTGAATACGCATATACATGTAATTACATGTATCTGGATGATGACCTAATACATGTACATGTACAGTCGTGGCCAAAAGTATCCGACCCCCCTTAACTTTCCGTAGATCATGTGTAATGCACCAAATTTTTCCGAGCA